AGACATTTTTGACCTCTGCTCAATTTTGAAGCGTGGTTAAGTTATGCTACGCCACAACGCAAGAGGGACAATCGCACACTAGCTGTGGGTCTAGATACAGCCGAGCCGGTGAGGAAGAGGGGGCAAGTTTGTTTGACGACGGAGGGACATGAGGGCGAAAAGAGTGGAGATCCAGGTGGGAAAAGGGTCCCAGCGTTCTTGCACACCTCACTCTTCTAGCTGGTCCAACTTCACGAGTCGTTTTCAGCAATGGAGGTCATACAAACAAGCCGGTAAGGTACAAAATTGGAAATACGCGTAAGTAGAACAGATCAGAATCAGAGGCCTGCAGACACTGTCTGCAGTCACCTACAATTTGGGAGAGGTGCAGCAAAGTGTCTGCTCATTATAAAATGAGCCTTTAAAGGTGTATTGGAGGATTTGAATTTGATTGGAGTGAGAGGAAACGCCTATTGAAAGTGTGTGAGAGCATGCAGAACCCCATTTCTCCTCATTTTACTAGCAGTGATGTGAAATGGATTTCTCCAAATAGCATGCCGCACTTAACCTGTCGAGTAGAAACTTTGCAACCGGGGCGTCAGTGGAAAGCCTGGCCTGGGCTTTCAGTGTACGGCATCATGTGAAAGAATCTCCCAAAAACAGGTCTTGTTTCTGTCTTCCGAGGCCTTTCTCTTCTTCTCACACACTTCTTAGACACTTTTCCTCTTACGACACCTCAGCCATGACCGCGGTGAGAAAGGGGAGCTTCACCTACTGACTGAAACCGTAGCTCACCGAACATACAGTATACGCATGAACGTGCGCATGTGCAGAAAAAGATACTGTAGCTAACTGGGGACGAGCATGCAGGATGGCCTTATGTTAACATGCCACCAGATTGATTGACAATTAGGAGGACCTCTTATTTAGATGATCCACCCAGAAAAGGAATATCCTTCAATATACCTTCAAGTTTCTATAGATGTTTAGGGCTGAAGGCAGGAAGGATCTCCTCTAGCTGTCTGTATCACAGCNCTCAAAGGAGTTTCTTTATTAAGGGCTGGTTATACTCCTGCAGCAGTGTGTCGCAGTTAGCTTGTTGCAGGTATAAAGTAGACATTTTTGACCTCTGCTCAATTTTGAAGCGTGGTTAAGTTATGCTACGCCACAACGCAAGAGGGACAATCGCACAATAGCTGTGGGTCTAGATACAGCCGAGCCGGTGAGGAAGAGGGGGCAAGTTTGTTTGACGATGGAGGAACATGAGGGCGAAAAGAGTGGAGATCCAGGTGGGAAAAGGGTCCCAGCATTCTTGCACACCTCACTCTTCTAGCTGGTCCAACTTCACGAGTTGTTTTCCGCAATGGCGGTCCTACAAACAAGCCGGTAAGGTATCAAATTGGAAATATGCGCAAGTAGAACGGATGTAGATTTGACCAATCAGAGGCCTGCAGCACTGTCTGCAATCACCTACAACTCGGGAGAGGTGCAGCAGAGGGTCTGCGTTCACGGCGACACCTACACAGACGACATAGTTTTGAATTATAAACTAGCCTTTAAAGGTGTAGTGGAGGATTTTCACCAATTTTTTAAGATGCGCTCTCCACTGTAAAAAAAAGTAAAATGTTCAGGCACAACCCTGTTGCCGCCCTGAGAGGGAACGTCTATTGAACGCGTGCAAGAGCATGCAGAACCCCATTTCTCCTCCTTTTACTAGCAGTGATGTGAAATGGATTTCTCCAAATAGCATGCCACACTTTAACTGTCAAGTAGAAACTTTGCAACCGAGTCGTCAGTGGAAAGCCCAGCCTGGGCTTTCAGTGTACGCCATCGTGTGAAACAATCTCCCAAAGACAGGTCTTGTTTCTGTCTTCTGAGGCCTTTCTCTTCTTCTCACACACTTCTTAGACACTTTCCTCTTACGACACCTCAGCCATGACCGCGGGGAGAAAGGCGAGCTTCATCTACTGACTGAAACCGTAGCTCACCGAACATACAGTATACGCATGAACGTACGAAAAAGATAGCTAAATGGGGACGAGCATGTAGGATGGCCTTATGTTAACATGTCACCAGATTGATTGACAATTAGGAGGACCTCTTATTTAGATGATGTACCCAGAAAAGGAATATCCTCCAATATACCTTTAAGTTTCTATAGATGTTTGGGGCTGAAGGCAGGAAGGATCTCCTCTAGCTGTCTGTATCACAGCAGTTAAAGCCTCTGACTGAAGACAGTCATAAAGAGCACAAGGTTTTTAATTTTATATGAAATTATTTGCTGTAAAATCATCTCCAGAGGTTCCCACGGTAAAGCCGGCCTTCTCTATTGAGCTTAGTGAGGTCATTTGCTCTGATACTAGTCCTTCTCTGGTCACCCTGTTATGTTGGTAAAGTGTCACAATGCAAAGTTTATGGAAAAGTGCTAAAAAAAAAAAAGATTCTACCGATACTATAGAACAAAATATCAATAAAATACACAATATAATTAAAGCTGCTAATATTTTTCTCTGTTACTTTTAATAATCGACTATTTAACCTGATCTTAGGAAACAGGAACAAAAATAAAAAGCAATTCTTCAAAGTAAAAAAGGATTGAACAAACCTCCTTGGGGATGTTGCCATGGAGCAAGGCCTCAATATGTAACCGTGACAATAGCTGAGGTATGAAGGCCCTAAGGCGTGGGAGAGTTACATCTGGAACACAGATTACAGAAATCTATCAGAGCATTTCTCTCTGGGCATCAGAGGTGAATCTGAAAGAAAACAATGACAGCATTTTCTTTGAACCTGGAAGAAATTCCTCTAATAAACCCAAACCAGCAGTTTGGTGTTAGACGGCCATGCAAGCTGCTAAAATACTCACATAAATTACGCTTAGACACACAATCAGCTGTTATTAGTCTAAAGAGTGAGAGAGAAATCTCAAAATGAGGTCAGAAGGAATTGCTTGGCAACAAGCTCTGGTTTGCTGAGGCTCAGGTGAACAATCATCCCTGCAGGAGGATATAAAAAGGTAAAACAACAATCCAGACGGCAGCTGTTGGGGAATAAAAACCCTCAACATCGAAAGAGACGAAGATTTAAATGACAAAACCAGAGATTAGAGAGAAGCGTCTACCTGCAGTAAAGAAACAGGCACATTCATCACATCACACATCAACCTAACCTTTATGCTTTGCTCTTTACTTGCTAATTTCTTTTAAAAGGTCAGTAAAGAGAAATCCTGACTGAGAACATGTCTCACCATCAAGAGCCTCTCTGAGCTCGTCTTTGGTCCACGCCACCTCAGTCATCAGGAGACGGAGGTAGTACATGGCATGCTGGTGCGGCTGCTCGGCTCGGAAGTTGTTTAAAGTCCTCATGTACTGAAAGGAGAAGGTCGACGTTAAGACTTTAGAAAATAAGTCATTAAATGCTACAGTGATCTAGAGAAAATCTGAACTTACTGCTTCTTTAATAATGTCGAAGCGCTTCTCGTCGATCTCGAATGTTGCCATCTTCTCAATGATCTTCTTCAGCAGGATGTGGGATTTATCATTGTAACCTTTGACTGTAAGCTGCAGTAAACCGCAGCAGAAAATATGCGATAAATAAAACTCTATCAGACAATCAACAATACAAAGAAAGGTTTTTCTAAATGTCATCAGCTTGAATCAA